GATATATAAACAAATGGACTTGGGTGAAGTTGCTTACTATGATTTTCGACATCATGATGATCATCAGTGAGATACTAAGATCCAAAATACAACCAGTTGGAGCACATATGTCTGATCCCAAACCTCCCAAATCAGTCCATACATTCATATCACCAGGATGAGTGAAAAATCGTCCCTTGAAAATGAATATTATTGGTTACCATATCATAGAACTTCAAGTTTGGGAAATTTCAATTGAATGTCAATTTTGAGCAATGCTAAAAATTTCAGCTCTGTGAGGTTATGCAAAAATTATACATCACTCAAAATCACAGCTGTTTCCTATGGTGAATATAATAAATAAACTTTCCGTATGTCCGAATGCTAACTGATATTTCTTCAATAATATTGACTTTTATATATAGAAACGAATGACGTTAGTAACTACTGTCCATACTTACAGCCCTGAAAATGAATATGAATGTAGCGTTCATGCATGCTCCGGTAACGGCCGCGATAACTCTTGTATTTTCTATGATGATTTCATCTTTACTACTTCGAATTAACATCATATCGACGCTTATTCTGTAAATCATGACACCAAGAACGCCTAGTATAACCAGAAACAACTGAAATAAAAAAGATACGGTTGGGTCGACGAAAAATATGAATTCATCATCAATTTATGCATCCGATAAACTCGTAAATCCATAAACTGGCGCAAAGTAATAAAAATGAAACGATGTGGCTACTGATCCGAACAACTTATATTTTTAATGAACAATTGCTTTTATTTTCTGGGAAAGAAAGGTTTCAACCAACTATTTTCATTTGAACATTGAATTATACAAGTTTTTCCAATTCAGTTGGTACTCCCAACATTCGTTATGGAATTGAATCAGAAATCATTCACAGGATTGCTAAACAATTAAGTACCTATATGAAAAAGATAAATGGTTCACTTACATGGAACACTCTAATTTTCAATGGCGTACATCAATGTTTCGGAATCAGACACTTGTCTTATTGCCTTCTCAGCACTAATCTGGATAACATTAGAAGTTGAAGCACTCAAATCACTCATAACATTACAACTTTATATCACGTATGAGTTAATTCTACTCATGTCACAAAGACAGTAAGATGACATTCATTCGCTTATTTGATTAAATCCCAGCTATAGGAATCTTTTAGGAGAGATTAATTTTTGGAATTTTTTTTTTAATTCACTAACAGTAACAAACCGCAATTACGATTTTGGATCAGTTTCATAAAATTCGTCAGTACTTTATCAATTATTCTGTAAAAACATATTTTCATATTTTTCACCTCTGATATCTAGTAGTATAAATTTTCCACCATGCAGAATATTAAACAGCGTCATTACAAATTTGAGGTTTAAATTTGAAATTACGATATAAAATTTACCTATTGTAAAATATGAGGTGACTACAGTGTATTAGTTGTGAAGAGAACTATTTGTAGTATAACAAATATGAAACCGTAGAAACATTTCAATAAACAACATGTAAATCAGGAGAACTGTCAAACAGAGATGTATACTGGGTGTCCCACATTTTATGTGACAGGCAATATCTGGTTTGTTGAAGGAGATACAAAAAAATGTTTCATACAAAAGTTTTAGGAGTTCATGAGAGCTATATTTTGATATAATTTTTAAATATACAGGGTGTTTGGTGTAGGTGCTACAGACCAAAATTCCATTNTAGGGCCGCGTTATGTTGATGAATATAGGCTGAGACCGCACAAGCCGGACATATTGAGAGCAAGTGCATTGGGGTCTCAGGCGCTTCGCTGGTGTTAAAGACACCATCCTGACAGGCCATGATGAACCCCTCAGTTTCCGATTTCAACCCACTCGACCTAAGCAAGGCAAAGGTCATGCGCTTTGATAAGCCGATGTCTTCAATGTTATTGAAGAAGACCTCATGCATTGGATTTTCATTGTTTTGCCGTATTTGTTGTGCGGCTTTTATATGGGCCTTTTACTGGACGGGTTCCAAGTTGGTGACGGAGTTGTGATCACTTCATTAAGAGTCGACAACTGAACCAAGTTCATCAGCCGCTCGGCCAACTGCCCTTAAAGAGGTATGCTTCAGTTCCTCCTCTCTCAAGATCAAGATCAAGATCTGAACTCTTGATTATTATAATTATTATACAGAGATGAGATTTCTTTGTTTGTAATGGATAAACTCATAAAAAACTTCGACAATTTTAGAAATTCTGTCACCTACAGAAAAACTACATTATAAGCAAAAATGCAATAATCTAATCGGCATGCGCTCCACGCCGTGAAAGTTGCTCATCAAGGTTGTTATAAATTCATACGTATTTCTGGTCACTTCGTTACTTCGATAAATATGATGGATGTGAATACTCACTTTGAAAAATGCTATATAAAAAACTGCTGAGTAGTTGTTGACGAATGCTAGAGAGTAACTCTTGTATATGAACGAATTATCGTATTCTTGCTGAGTTCTATGATTTTCCAGATTGGTCAGCTTCAAAGCCAGAATTTTGAAAATCTGCGAAAGAAATGTATTTTCACTGTACAATTTCAAATATTTCGTTTGATGAATCAATTTTGAAAGTATTTTCGTACATCCTGTGGAAAAAGTCAGTTTGATAGAACAAAATTAGTACTCTTTCACTAGGTAATATCTACCATTAACCAAGTACCTAAAAATTGAAGTCATTTACAAACTCAAATGTACCTCTCCCAACCTTACGTCTTTGATTATCTGTACAAATGCATGTGTATTAAATGCATGTGGTTCTAAAATAGGCCCGAGGAGAGCGGTTATATCTGCCGTCAATTAACCGTATACTTGTCCGAAACCAGCATGTACATCGAGACCACGTCGTAGCTCAGTAATATGTTTCTTGGACTAACTTTATATCTCTAATCTTTTCGATGAACTGTCTCATTTTTCTTTATATTAAGTGACTCTGATTTTCCTCTGATCGGCTGCAGTAGGGTCGTCAAGTATATGAGAAGATCATAAGTTGGTAAACCTATCGCATTCACGATATGTCTTATGGCATATTCTCTTTGGTAAGCCGTGTGACAAAAGGGCTTCGGCTTTTTGTAGGACCTTATTCGTGTTTTCTCCAAGACTTGATGAAGGGATAGCAAGACTCGTTTTTCTCGAAATCTTGGAGGTCGGATCCTGACTGAGTGTTTTATATTTCCCTAGATTGCGTAGGGTGACAATTTTTGTCATTATAATCCTTGGTGAATATCACGACGGTGGCATTTCCTTTGTCATGAGGTGATACCAAGATGTTTACAAATTATATTTTCAAAATCAACCAGTAGACCTCCAGTAAGCTATAACTGAACTAAATTGAAAATGGGAGTAACGTCGATGAACCCAATGAAGGTACGAGAAGAATTCAATTTTCATTGCTGCTGTGCGAAAATACCCTTATTGCTTTTATTTTTATTTCTGTCTTACGGTAATAGTGGAATTGCCAGGGGCATTGTATTTATGTACACAGGACGTTTTTTCGGTGTCAACTGCATCGACTTCTATGGTGCTTAGCCTCATGGTCTGGATAAGTTATATTAATAATTTCCTGGGTCACTCAGGAACCATCATGGTAAAACGAAAAATATTATTGTGGTCCACATTGATACATTTTTTTTCCATTTCTCATATGTTATAGAAGTTGGACATACATGTTTCACAATAATGAAAGTGATTCTATACATTGCAAGTGAAAAGTCGTAGGAATATTTTTTTTCATCAAAAATACAATTCAACTCGAACAAAATGAAATTAACCAGTGTAGGTGAATCCATGAATTTTTATTTTAATGAATATATATGAAAAACCACATATTTCGAAAATAACTTCTAGAAAACTTCTCAATAAACAAAATTGAAACAACAATGTCTGAGATGCGTCCTGATTGGGAGTTATGTGAAAAAAACATGAATCTGTGTCAAAAAGGCTGTGTAGATTAGCGTCCTGATTGGCTTATGTGAGAGGATTATAGATGAAAAAACATGTTTGACGGTTTTCACGTGCCCGAGGAGCATAACTCACCGCCCAGCAATGCGCGCCCTCACGTATTCGTTCATCGAAGAAGAAGCCGTGGGCGATGAATAGTACAACGTGTGTGAAAAACTCATCGAGCCGAGAACAAAGAGAGTGAACACCCAGGTTGTTCACTTCGAGTTGTATATTACTTGTGATAAATAACGTGGCGTCATGCCACCGACTTTGTGGAAAAAGGTGAGTCAGCGGATGCCGTTGTTAATTTTAACAAGCTGACAAAGGTTGTTTACTCCAAGTGACCCAAAATACCCAACACTATTCTACACCTCTCGTAGCAGTTCATACTTGGGCTGGTACAACGTCGTTGAGTTTACGTATACATTTCCAAGAATGTGAACAGCACACATGCTCTTATACATGATGAGAATCTCAGATTCTCATCTAGTTGATCGGAAATTTAGGGTAAGAGTTCACTAAGCTATCTCTACAGACTTTTCAATGAAAGCAGGTGTTCAACAGGGGTCCTGTCTATTCCCGCACCTATATTATTTCTGTAGGTACGATTTTCTCATGTTCGCGAATACAAATGCAGACGATACTGCCTTACATGCCCATTCGTATTTAAGTAAGGTGACAACACGCCAACTACAGATAAATTGAAATCCATACATGGAGAGGAATAAGATAATCCAACAAAGATTATACTTGTCAATTTCACGAAGAAATCCACCGACGTAAAGATATTCAGGAATTTGATGTTTCATGTGTGGAAGAACAGAGAAGTGCGAAGTACCTGGGAATTATCCTGAATAGGTGATTGAATTTCTAAGAATACTCAAGTTGAACAATTCAGAGAGCGGCGAATGAACTCAACTACCCTTTCATTGAACGAAAATCTGAAATGGGTGTTGACTACAAGCTCCTGATATATAAACAAATTATCAGGCCAGCTATGTCGTACGGTTGCCGCTTCATTGGAGCGTTTGCAAGACAGCGGAAATCGTGGTTTCTCCCGAAAAGCCCGCTAACTAGTACAGTCACGGCTGTTAGAACTTCTCATAATCAACCCCGTCGTCACGGTGGTTTGATTTATGATATAATGGTGTGCATAAGCCTAGTCGGCAGGAGACAAGCGACTCAGTCGGTTTAATGAAGTCTACGTTTTTGGGTGAGCGTCAACCCACTAACACTGCGGGGGATGCTCTCCACCGCTTTTTTTCAGCGGGGCGCCTTGTAAGAAGCCTCCTAGCTACTTTACTATTCAGGTAGAAAAAATCTATGAAGTTATAGATATGTTCATATTTATTTTAATGAAAAGATTTTTGATTTTGATTTTGATTTTTGTCTCTTACCGAGACGACCGAGGTTTGATCGCGAGCGACGAAAACTGTTTTTCAAGGGAACTAGCACGTCTAACAAATGCGTATGCGTATTCTATCTAGATCATATGGCCATTTTTAGATGGCCTAGAATTTGCATAGCCCTACTACTGAATTATAAATATTACTTATTTGAAATACTCGTTTCAAATGTAATACTTTCTGTTCGATACATTCGAATCTACAATATTTAATTTCAATATGGGAAGCAGCTCATTCAATTACACTAAAACCTCAAAACAGAAGTTATGAAATGTATATTTCAATTACGATATCTGGAACCTACGTCAAGTTCATAAATACTACGTGATCTTCCAGATATTCAATACATTTTCCAATTGACAATTTGTTATTTTAATCAGGTACTTCATTAGAAAAAAACCGCAAACATTCAAATTCTAATGTCAGTGAAATAAATACTATCACCGATCATAAGACAAGCACAACTACATTGAATTATATTGCTCAAAATTTTTAGAGAAACCATTATCCAATTCAGGCGTTGAAATATATAATAATATAGAAAAATTGAAATATCATCAAAAAACAATGAAAGTCTAATCTCATATGAAAAAATTTCTGTTTTCTTCCTCTAATTGAGATTTCGATCTGCATATTACACTTTATCATTTTAATGTTGTTATAATTGAATTATATTTTAGTTACTGTTATTTTGGGTATAAAACCTTGCACAATCTGAAAAATAAACAAAATCTGAAATACTAAAAAATTCACCCCGAAAAGTTAGTGTGTAATATAAACTACTGAAGAGTCCATTCAGTCAGTAAATTGTCGTATTCATAAATTACGCCTACAAATTGAATGATCCATTGAAAAAAATTTAATTCTTTTCCATTTTCAAAACCCCAAATTCACTTGAAAACAGCTTCTCAATTATAAATAACGATCACAAACGTAGGAAAAATTTGTGAATAGGACAAGTTATAGACTAATTGATTCTTCAGTGGTTTATAGTAGTAATTTTTCGAGGTGAACTTTCCAGTTAACCATTTATTACAGTTCAGCAGTTTCTCTATTGATACAACTCCATTCATTATTCATATTGTGGAAGAATATACACCAAACAAAAAACAGTAGGAAACATTGATTTTTTCACAAAAAATGTCTCTAAGAATTATCAATAATGTATTATTATACACTTTATTGATTCGGTCGGTCGGTAGCTGGGCGGTTCGACGTGGGTGCTTTGTTCACTCAGTCAATCGGCCGATGTGTGAGTCAATGATTCAAGCCCCTCGCTGAACGCTCCATTTTCACTTGCTATCCTAAGCTAACCTAATCTAACCTAACCTAACCTAACACGGGTTGGAACCCGTGTTAGGAATCACATGTTAAAAGGTTATACCGTGTTAGTCCTTAGGTCGCATAATTTTCTTCTGAGGTTTGTCATTCGTAGGGGTGCGATAGCTGGTTAACGGAAAAAACATATTTTAAACATATATTTTTAAACATATTAGTACTTGAATGGTTCATTTAATTTTCATTCTTGATAGAAAAATTCGTGTTTTATGGAAACGATGATAATTGATATTATCATTTATAAAACTCATTCACAAAGCTAGATTATAGTTTTCGTGACATTGGCGCACTTTCCTGCATTTGTACGTCAAAAATCACTTATTCAATAATGAATGGGTGAAACTTTTTTTAGTTGACATATATCAAGGTGTTTCATAAGCTTTGTCCGTTTTTATGAGTCTTCTTCAAACTCTGATATATCAGAGAATACTTATTCAATTTAATCTAAATGAGCGCCATTTGAATCACTTTTGCCAACGTGACTCGAGTCAATTATTTCCATCAGCATAAAAATTGTGTTCTCGGGATTCGATGAAATTGACGAAGGCCTTTTTGTCTGCTCCTGATAGCTGAGAGGTCTGGGGAGCATGGTGGGTGAGGCAGAACTTTGACGCTCATTTCGTTTGATTTTCTGATGGTGATTCGTGGAATATGCAGGCGTTGTCGCGGTGCAGGATCGGACCTCTGCCGGTTGCTGCTGACATAATTTCCGATACATTTCGTCGATTTCCTCACTCTGCCGTGATGGTTTGACCCGTTTGCAGCAAGTTAGAGTGAATCACACTAACCGTTAATCACCATAAAGTAACTATGGTCTTTTTT